GTTCATTAATTTGAGTAAAATACTTCAGTTGTTTTTTCGGTTTAACACATTGTGGTTGTAGGATGAATCACAATGCTCTTTTTCCAAATTATTTCACCATGACACTCAATCAACTCAAGCAGAAAGAGAAAGTTTAACCAATTGTAAATATGTGGAAATTGCAGTCTACCAAGAGGGAGAGGACTATTCCCTTTGCAAAGTAACAGAGGGATTTTAGTGATCAAATGTAGCCATAAGTTCAGGCTTACATTTATGCTGAAAGATACCTTGGGCCAAATGGGTAAAACTGAAATACTACACCTGTCACTAAAGAACATGAAATGATTCACACAAACACTCTCAGTGTCAGAACAAAAAATTCTCTGACTCCAGTATTTATAGTTCTCAACAATGACCAGGGATTGGATAATTAAGTTACCACCCTCCCAAGCACACTGGTCATGAGAAACGTCCATCAAAAGACATTTCTTAGAAGGAAAGTGATAAACAACTTATGTTTATAGAACTTTCATGGGAAAGTAACTAAAACTATGAAAACTTTACCAGAAGGCTTTAGGTTTCAGGGCAACATACACCCAAGTAGTTTTTGGTGTAAAAAAAAAAAAGTCTGTTAATGACGTGCTCAAACAGGAGGCAGGAATCTGTTTTACATCTAAACCCAGGCAATTAACTTATGTATTTTTCCATGTAAGTAAAACTGACTCAATTATGGTAGGAATCACATAATTCTTTTGGTGTAAATATAACTTTTAGCAGCATGATGGGATTTGGCAATATTATTGGGGGTGAAAGCACTTGATACTGCAGATGTCTAAAAATACCATTCATTTTTGCAATGAATAAGAAGTATGGGATTTGTCATCGTGGTAATAATGAGATTTTGTCTAAAAGTAACAATCCCAACTAAACCATGGTGTCAGAATTCAAAAATGTGGTTTCAACAACTGTGAAACGTATCACAAAAACTACTTACAGTGACTTCTACAGTCTGCCTCAAAAGTGCTGTAGGAAACAACTATAACTGTTTACAAAGCTGATGATATTTCAAGAAAATCTAATTAAAAAAAATACCAACTGACAGAAATGAATAACCAATCATAAACATTATCATTTTGAACAGAATGCTTCTCATGAAATACAAAATGTGTGCAAACCATTAATTCTGCCTTCATTACAGCCAGCTTGGGAAAGAAATGCAGATTGCTTTAGAAAAACTGTGTCCCCTGTCATAAAGTAAACTGAATACCCACATCATTTCACACTTACAGAAGATCTTCCTGCCAAAGATGAAGATGATCATAAAGCTCCTTACAGGCATCATCTAACTTAGCCTAATCACATCCCTGCAAGGTGTGTTAACTGTTACAGTTCTCTCTGCACACATGGTCAAACAAGAATAAATAGGTTTACACCACAAGAGCTCACAGTGATGTGGCAACTTGCTATTAAAGCCACCCAGGAGTTTCAACTCCCTTAGTTTTGCATTAAGAGCTGGATCACCCAGCTCTTATATTGTGTAAAATCTACCCAAGTGCAGGAACATAAGAAGTATGAAGCAGCCCAGATGTTCTGACAGTTCCATCAAGGCTTTAATTAATAAAAGTTAATAATATAGATAGTCACTAAGGAGAGAATTAATGTAGTCCTGGCTTCCTTTCCCCTTCTACGACCATTGGAATCTGAAAGCAGGACATCAACTTTATTTCTGCTTTTTCCTTTTTGATCTATTATGTTTCCTTATCACTTTACATCCACTTCCTTTTCTTTTTTCTTTTTTTTTTATTTTAATGTACAGATACTCTGATTGCTATTTCTGAAGTTATTTATAGACACTGGGAACGTAAATCACAGTAGTAATCATCAAGCAGTAGACATTTAAGCCTCTTCAGTTTCTCCAGCAATCTTCAACTTTCAAATGCCCCAATAAGCCACCACACAAATCTTTATTTTAAGCATGAATACACAATGCTTTCTAAACTTTCATATGTACACAGTGAATAGAAGGCAATTACCTGACCCTTTTGTAAAACAAGGTGATATATGTTAAGGGACATTCCCAGTTCTTTTATGTTTAAAACAAAGAAATTAGAGCATTTTCTGAAGTTTCCCTTTCACTAAAGCACACCAAAAGGAAAAACAAACAGTAACACACAAAATACACAAAAGCCTCTGTGAGCCTTTACCAAATCCACATGGTGTTAGACTTCAGTAAGAAAGGACGAGACAAAGTGACTTGTGGAATAAAGAAGCTACACTGAGCATGAAATACGTATATTTAGGTGCAATCATAACTAAATCACAGCTAGTGAAAGGAAAAGTGTTCTACAGAAAGACCAGATCTCAGGAAAATTGGAGAGTCAAGATGCCTCTGTAAAATAGCTCTGAAAGATCCTGCAGATTTGAGTTACTGACTTGGATTACTTTCCTCCCAGGAAACGTTCTGGTGGAAATGATCCCCAAGAAACTTTGTAAGGGATGAGGAGAGTTAAAAGCCCAATTAAAAGCTTTTGACTGGATACCCTCTAAGGTTCAACACTCAACATTACAGTCTTTTGCCCTATCCTGTCACTGATCCTAAGTGCAAAGATTTCTTGTAGAGTCTGGGCAGGGATAAATAATTACAGATGCTCTCCATACATAAATAAAACCATGCAGAAAGAATTCTCTGTTTTCTACCCAAAATACGTACCTCTACAGCTAAACTTGACCAAAGGCTGAAATTGAAGCAACTGACAATACATCAGAGCTGGTCTTTCACTCAAGTAATATAAATAAAACAAGCATGACTTTCTGAGCCTTTAAAAGTACTTCTAAGCTGTAACATATTTTTGCTGCAATAATAAAAAGTCTGGCTAAATAACTGAATTCCAGTAGTTCCATGGTAATTTTGCTCTAAGAGGAATCATCTCTTCCAAGTTCTTCTCTGAACTTCTGTAGCATATTGCTGACTTTTTACTCTCTATATATTACACTGAAAGGATAATTTCCAGAACTTCATTTTAGCTCAGAGCAGTATTCCACAGCCATTAGCTTTTTACCCATTTAGAATTATACTCCCTTTCAATTCTTGGGAACTGTATAGTGTTCCACATTTAACACCCAAAGAGTGTTCCTTCCTATATATAAAGCCTTCCTATATTAACCACCTTGCAGCAAAACCTCAAAGCAGCACACTAGGGATCAAAAGTAATCAGTTGTACACCAGGTCAGCCATTTTAGTAATTTTCCCATTTAATCATTTTACCGATTTCTTTGCCTTGTGGTTGCTTTTGAGTGATATTTTAGTTATCTCCACCTCACACCTTTGGATTAGGTGTCAATATGGTCAGTGTCTGCACATACCAAAGTGAGAGCATTTGTATCTGTGGCACCATATTTGAAATACACATTAATAATGTATATTCACACATCCCAGTTTGCCTGTAAAGCTCAAACCTGTGCTCCGTGGTGTTCATGACAATTTTACTGGAAGGTAATTATGACTTAAGCAAAGTCACTTGGGAATTCTGTAACAAAATGGGATCAAACTTTAATGCCCCATGGCATTCATGTGCTAGGGATAACACAGCACTGACAGGACACAAGCTTTTCTGGACTGGCAGCTGGAAACAGTGGAGTAGTCCACAGTATCTCGCATGGCACCAGATACTTCTGTTTTGAATACTTGTGCATAAAGTGAGAAGCATATGCCTGAGAACCAGGATTGATTCCTACACCTCCTAAGCCAAGCTTGTTTTATTCAACAGGCAATACTTTTTCCAAAATTAAGACAATAAATTAATCTTTTCTAATTCACATAGTGTTTGAAACATAAGACTTCCTCATTTTCAATCTTCTAGAAATGGAAGTGGATTGAGAAATAACCTCTTCTGGTCACCACAATATAAGAGCCAAAGTGAAGTGTTCAGAGGCATATTTTTGGCAACTGAAAATTTTCAATTATATCTCCTGGAACTTTATGCATTTCAAATACTTTTCTCCCTTCTGTTGAATTTCTAATAGATATTGCACAACTTTGGCTCCATGACCAGAATCCTTGTGCCAAATTAGACTCTGAAAGAATCTCATGTTTAGCTGATAAAGATGATTATGTAAACACAAGTCCTTTGCTTGTTTTTCCACTTCTGCAATTCAGACAAATCAAAGCAAATCACAGAAACCAATGGCCAAATGAAAATAACAAATCAAATATATTTTAATTATTTGTGAAATCTTCTTTGTTCAGCTCTTTTTAATGTAGGACCCATTGATCATACCATGGTAATGTCTGCATTTCAGCCATCAGAGAAGTTTCGAAACTATTTACAGCATGGGTTCCAATCAGAACCTCACTGTTCCACTGGGAGTTTCATATATTTCTGTAGCGTCCCCTCTGCCTGAGTGTGTTCAAGGTATCCTTTGCAGAAAAGACAATTTATTTTTATAATCCCATGGAACCACTTTAACTGCCTTCTAATCCTTGGCAGCCCTTGTTCCACCAGCTGCCACTGACAGGTCAATCTTTACTTTTCATGGCAGAGCACCTTTCGCGTAGGAAATTCTCTTCTCTAGAATTTTTTATTTATTTATCTCAAATTCTTGCAGCAGCTATACTTAAAACATCCCAGCGTGTTTACGTAATTTATATACTCAGCTAGCTTCCTTAGTAAGACGTGTCAATTGTGTTGTATCTTTCATATTTATGTTATAGCAACCCTATCTTAATTAATAATAAAACACATAAGCTAAATTGTGCAGTCTTCACTATTATATTCACAGGATGCTTATGGCATTACATTGTTACTGCACAGGAAAAATAACTTGCAGGATTCCTGCCTACCAATATAAAACTGGTTTTCAAGATTTAAGTGTGTAATAAATTAGAAAATATTTCTCATAGAGTAAATGTCTTCTGCAGCATAGCACTAATTCATTCTTGAAGAATAACATTTTCTCCTGTGAGGCAGGATGTATATTATTTAGAGGAACACAAAAAAGAGAAGGAAGCAGCATATCTTTACCCTCCGCACATCTTTGCCGAATGTTTCGCTGTAGCTGGTGCCCAGTATTTCAAATTGGACATAGGGGTTGGCTCCATCTTCTCTGAACTCCATAACACCAGTTAATCCAGTTATGTGGCCCTAAGGATACAAGTTTGAGAAATTTCAGAACAGAAGACATTTGCCTTCATAAACGCACTGCATAAAATGTGTGCCAAATATGCATTAATCATGTTTACAGTGAACTTAAATGTGGCCATTGCATGTTTTTCAGTAGCTCAAACCCAGCACTAGACAAAAGACTTCTGTTTTAATTTTTTTTTTTAAATAAAATTACTGTAGCAGTAACACACACAATGTTTATGAGCCATCAGGTCATTATTGTCCACAGAAACAGACTCCAAAGAAAAAGAGCAGTGTCTTAGTGGACTGTGAGACAGCAGCTCTCCCAGCGTAACTGAGAGCAGCGGGCTCAGTTCTCAGCTTGAGCACCAAGGCATGAACTCCTAGCCCAAAACAGAGGGTATGCCTGCTGTGCTCCCAAGAGAGGCATGAAGGAAAGATAAAATTGCATCTCTGTGAAACTATCACAGTTTGATTCTGCCTTTGTAGCTAAGAAGCTTGAAGAGACACAAAAGTTCGAATTAATTTATCAACAAAGGATGGTATAATTAGGACTTGTCAGGATGATCAAATTGCATTATTTTATTAGAGGAAAATTATTTCATCAGTATATGTTTGGGAACAGGAGGTTTTCTTCTAAACCATTTTAAAAGTTAGTATAGTAAAAAATTTAGGTTTTTTTCTACTATTGCTTGTGATCAAACAAACTCTCATACAAGAAGTTGCCATGTGTCTGCAAAGCCACAGTTCTGTCCATATTTGAGTATTTTAGCACTGTGCAAGACAATGTAACTGTTAGTGACAGCTTAGCCAAATCAGATCCTTTTTTTCTCTGCTCTGGGCTATAGTACACAAATAGATCCTTACCAATGCTCAGCTAACTTACAAAGCTATCTGAGCTGCAGAAAATGGAACATAAGTCATAAACCTCGTCACTGGTTTCCCCTCCTTCCCCCCCAGGCTCCTAAAGTTATCCTCTTGCAAAAATGTATTAATCAATTCCCATGAGTACTCCTGATCCTACTTCCTCCACAGAAGGCAGCTACGAGAACAACAGAAGCAGAACACACACCACTGGAGCCACACTGCACTGTTTGTAGACTGTTTATCATAAATCATTTGCTTGTTTAATAGCTGTAGCTTGTCCTTGGTCACTGTAGATCACTTGCTTGTAATACATCAAAGAAAAGTTGAACAGAAGTTAAAACCTTCTTCAAATGCTCGAGTAGATGTGAAGCAGCTCTTTCAATTGCTCACACAATGGTGGTTTGTCTTTTCTCACCTTCTTAATAGTCTCTAGCATAGATCTTCCTCCGTTCCAAGGTTTGGTGGATTTCCTCATGCAGTTCAGACTTGCCATGCTGTGCCACTTCCTGTCCTCCAGTTTTCTGTGGAAAGCATTGGCCAGCATGAGCACACTGTCATACAGGTACAGGTTGGAAACCTGCAAACAATAATAAGAATGAGCCTCTTTTTTTTACGTGAGCACCTTCAAAGAAAACAAAATAAGATATAAATAAGAACTAAAATGGGTATGTTTGACATGTTCAACAGTCAAAGCATTTGAGACAAATTCCTGTGCTCCTGGGTCCCTCTGTCCAATGGATTCTGGCACACTGGAAATGCCTGAGCATTACTGCAATGCAGTGCTGTAAAGAGCACTCCACATATAAACTCAAACTACAGAGGGAGTACAGCTATCTATCAGTGTAAGACAATGATTGCTACTTTGTCAGTCCTTTTCAGCAAGGAGGGAAAGGTAGAATGGAATTAGGGTATTGGGTGTTTTATTCATTCGAGCAGCTGGTAAATTTCTGGCACAGCAAAATCCAATGCACACGCAACTCTTTAGAACAGAAGGAGGAGAAATGACACTATTATTTTGGTCTTAGAGTCTCTTTCCACCAAATATACATGAGACTTGTTATGTGCCACTTTCTCCAGAGCTACTGAATTTGGCCTCCTTATTCTTCAATTTACATGAGAGATACAATAACATACAATAAACAATTTATGACAAAGACTCCAGTAAGAACAGAACACTAGTAATGCTGAGCTATGTATTTAATTTTTTTAAACTAAGGCATGGCTCACAATACAGGATTAGATCATTGACAGGCAGTGGTATCCACTTCAAATGGTAAAACTTTAGCAGTGGAAGCTGGCTAAGGTAAGTGATTTTAAAAAAATCATTAGATACTCTTCACCCGTTCCCAGAGTTCACATGCCCTCTTCTTCAAACATATACACAGGGGGCTGGGGTTAGATTTAGTCTTTACTAAACTCAAATCTTCACTTTAAACCGTTGGCCAGATACAGCTTTTTCTATTAATACTACAATAACAACAGCAACACAACTACTGGTTGTGTATTACTATTAACTATTACTACTATTACTACTATTGCTACTACTACTACTACTACTACTAATAGTAATAGTAATAACAACAACAACAACAACAACAACAACAATAATAATAATAATAATAATAATAATAATAATAATAATAATAATAATAATAATAATAATAATAATAATAATAATAATAATAATAATAATAATAATAATAATAATTCTTTTAGCTGTAGGCTTTAATCATGGTCATCCCTGACTTTGCCATTTATCTCCTGAATTTTTCTAGTTCATCTTAGAAAGTAATACCTAGAGACCAGGAAAGAGTTGCATGTAGAAGTTAATTCAGCTGCATACTTCCTATAAATGAGACTTCCTAAGCATCCCAATAAAAGTGTCACTCTGTGAAAGCTTAAACATATATTACTGCTGAATCACTGGCTGCAAGTAAACTGATATCTGTAAGATTCTAATCTTCAGAAACAAAACGTTTCGTGTTCCATAATCTGGAGTTTGACATAAATTGAAAACCTAGGCACTTTGGAGTATCTTGTAGAATAAGTAAATCTGAACAAAAGATATATAAGCAAAAATTAATTTTGAAAGAATCAAAATACAAAGAAAAAAATATGTTGCAAATACACATTTATTTATTTAAGTTACTAAGCATAGAACAGGGATCTTAACATGAAAACAATGCAAAACCTATGAGATACTGTCAGGGAGAATCTCTCTCATCTGGCATTGCCACCTTCTTTCCCTTCTTTTCTTTCCAGCGCTGCTGAGCAAACATTCCACATAGCCTGTATTTGCTATTTTATCCAGTTAAAACTTTTCTTTTTAAAATATTTTCTGAAGTAGCTATTTGCCATACTTCCTCTGGTTTTAAGAAAAGTAGTTGAAGAGTTAATAAGAGTCCCAGCAACCAAGTTTCTTCTGCTCAATTGCATTTGTTTCCCTACTCTGCCGATATTTCCAAACAACTTTCAAATAAAGCAACCAAGCGGATCCTTATTATTCAAAAGGGCACTTTTCTTCTGGGTTAAACAACTCTTCACAGAAAAAAATCAAAACAAACCTCAGATCCCACAAGATACACTACCCCAAACCACACACCACAAGATCCACTTCTTAGAAACAGATTTTACATACATAAGGAAAAATGCCATTTCTTATAAGGCTTCATGATCCTCTTTGCTCCCAGCTGAATTTGTTTTTACACACTCACTTTTAACTGACAACTAATTGTCTGTTGCCTTGGAACTCCCACAGATCAGAAATGCTTTGTGTTTTCTCTGTTTGGCATTGTTCTTTTACGGTTCTGAAAAACTGCAGCCTCATTCCCAAAAACAGTGCTTGGCTTGCTAGCAGAGAGCTTTAAGGCAAAATAAGATGCACTTGGGTACACTGTTTTCTGCTTTTCGTGTGCTTGGAGAAGACACCACAGTTCTGCACATGTGACTGACAGAGCTTGGGAGAATTGCACTGAGATCTCAGCCTGCAAAACCTTCCACCCAACTCAAATTGCCTCCTGCTGCAGAGCAAAACAAAACAATGCTGTGTTTCACAGCCTAATCCTCATAGTTCAGCTAGACCTTTAATGGACTTTGCATCAGTATTGTTCCGTTCATTTCTTTTGAGAGAATGCTATAAACTGAGAGATAGCAAGAGGGGCTCTGCACAAAAGGAGTCTTCTACTACATTTGTCCTTATTCCTCATCTGGAGATCTGTACCAAGGCAGAAGAAAACGTTGCAGAGAATAAACCAAGATACTTTCTGTCATGGAAAGAATATTCTTGTATGTTCTGTTGTATTATCCACCGGTATTTTGCCACTCTGGTTCTCTTTTGCTGAAAGCCTCATCCCAAACATGAGTAAATGGTGCTTTTTAATCAGCAAAATTCCTTCCTTCATATAATCATACTCTATTTACTCCAGTAAAAATGGCATGCACGCATAACTATATTTTACTCATTACTCACTGAAGAGTCAATATCCTACGGAAGAGTAAGTTTCATCTTACTCACACAATCAACACTTCTATTTTAGAACAGAAAATATGCAAGCTAGGAAAAACACAGCAAGAAAATTTTCACAACTAAGGCTGGATCTGTAATAGTAAGAAAAAAAAAAAAGACACAAACATTCTGGCCTAATCTCACAGTAAATTCAGGGCTATAATAATTTTCTTTATTACATTTAAATACAGAAAAATCTCTTCATATATCCTAAATCATATTTGCAACGTGAGCTTGCCGTAGCCTCCAGAATAGTGATGCTGTGAAAAGAGAAAGAATTCAGCAGACATGGCCTGTATGCCCTTGTTACTGCACCTGCACACATATTTTAATTTTCAGTGAACTGTCAACTTCCCTATGAGTATGGACAGGACCACTGAAAGGGAATTTTTGAGATACCCAAGGGCTCAGTTATACTCTGATTCCATCAGTACAGTCAGAGCCTGAGAAAATAGTTAATTTAAAACATTCATCTTCAGGTAGCATTCAGAATTGGTAGTAAAGCAAGAAAGAAGCGGAACAAGGCAACATACTTGGCTACTTTGGGTTTTCAAAGCTCTGAAGCATTTTTTAATTCCCCCATTTGGATATTCACAGGGGAACAGAGGAGGAAAGGACATACATCTGTCTGAAGAGATTCTTCCCCTTAACAGAATAAAAATTCCTAGACTAGAACAAGGTATTTCATTTTGGTCATGTTTGGAGGAAGTGACAGTAATTTTTAGTTCTTTCACTCCATTGTTGACAGGGTCAGAGCTGGAGGTACTGAAATGATTTTTGATCTATCTGCTATAAGAATGATGGTGACTGCTTCACCAATATGCTAAAGAATATACCCTGTACATGAATAATTTTAGGCATGTTCTGGTTTATCTTCTGGAAATTATTCCAGACATTATGAATCTCTTTTTTGCACTGAAGAAATAAACCCCCCATACACTAGTAGAGCACAGCAGAAATATTCAAGAATTTAAATCTATCACAGTATTAAATGTCATTTCATAGACGTTTCTATGTGAACTTCATGAGATTTTTAAAATTATTTTACTTAAAGTTATGTATGAAGAAAGCTCTTAGCTCCTTCAGAGGGACTAATCACAGACAAGTGCTCTTCTGAAAAGGCCAGCAAGCCACAAAGACTGACCCCAGCTCCTGAGTGGCCACCAGAGCCAGGAGTACAGCCAGAGAATGCTGAAGAGATTAGCTGGAAGGCAATCTGACACTGAGATGTCACTACTTCAAAAACTCATTCCCAAGCTGGGCATCTGTACCTTGCTATTGCCAAAATCACTCTGTGACTAGCCACAGTAGTCAGCTCCAAAGATGAAACAGATGGAAGAGGAGTTCAGAGCAAGTGCAGCCTGCCAGAAATGCATGCTGCCTGAGAGATCATGGTGACTGCTATGCACACCCCAGCACGCCCTAAACCGGTGTGTCAGCTTTCAGAGTTCAAGTACTGCCTGGTGCAGTTGCACATTTGTGTCTCTAATGACAGAGTGTATCTTACTGGGGGCAGCAAAGATTGGTTTATTTATGGTATAATGGTGTGCTAACAAGGATTTTGTTAGAGCATAGGGAATGAAAATTTGACCTGTTTCATTTTCTTAAATATGTTTCAAAGAATGACAGAATTTCTTGGGTTAGAAGGGATCTTTAAGATTATCTAATTCCAGCCCCGCTGGTGTGGGCAGGAATGCCATTCACTAGACAGGCTGTTCAAAGCCCTGTCCATCCTGTCCTTGGACACTGCCAGCGATGGGGCATTCACAGCTTCTGACTGGAGCACTTGCCATGAGGACTGAGGCAAATAAATGGAGTACCTTAGCCTTCTCCTCATCCTGAGTAACCAACTCTCCTATTTCCATTCAGAGAAGGTTCATATTTTCCCTCATTTTCCTTTTATCACCAACTGTACATATAGAAGATTTTGGATTTTCCCTAGACATCTGTGGCCAGACTTAATTCTATCAAGTTTTTAGTTTTCCACATGCTGACTGCTCAGAAAATTTCTCTGTATTTTTCACCAGCTTCCTGTCCCAGATTGCAGTCTCTATAGACTTCCTTCTGGTGTT